CGGAGTAGCGGGATACGCGTGCCGAGTGGTGGTGTAGGTTGTTTGCGGTTTAGTAGAGACAGGGTCTTCACTCTGGCAGGCGACTGGTGCGAGTGGTGCGCCGTCGCCTCCCAGGAATGATAAAGGATTACAGGTGTGAGACCTTCGGCACTGCCAGAAATTATTTTTAAAAATTTGTTTTCTGTTCTTTCGAATTTTTTCGAAACCTGCCTCCACTGGCAAAATACGAAAGCTTCTGTGTTGGATCTCTCTCTTACTGCTCTATTGACACCATAAAACTGTCTTCTCCATCAGTAGGATTTTTTTATGTTTTTTTGTGTTAGTTTTTTTTGTTGAATGTGCAGCTGTTCTCTCTTTTCCATCAGTGAGCAAGGCATAGACACACGTACATATGGTGTTTGGTTCAGGGATGTTGTGTTGGTTTTGTCTGTTATTTTTTTCCTTGCTTCGGTCAGCCTCTGGGAGGGCTTGCCACACTCAGCTATCCCATGGGACAGGAAAAGTTTGGCAGGGCACCCGGACACTTACAGAAGTGGGGTCTTCCGGATCTACCGTGGCCATGGTTGACGCCAGCGTGCCAGCGTTACCGCTTTGGATAACACCTTGCCGGAAGCGGCATGGGAAGGGAGAGGCAGCCCAAGTCCGGGGCCTGGGGAGAGCTGGTGGAAGCCGGGGGCCCAGTGCGGCAGGTCCGAGGTTGCAGCAGAGGCAGCAGGACGGGCCCCTGGGGGTGGAGGTGAGTCACGAGGGCCCCGCCCGGGAGAGAAGAGGCACCAGCTAAGATTTAACAATCGCGCTTCCTGATGTATTTGTGAGGGTCGCACTTGGGTTATTATTCCTGGGAAATGCACAAGTAGAGACAAATGGCAGTGGACCACAGATAGGATTAGTATACTGAGCTGGAGGCGTTAATTATTAGTCCTCGATATTCAGATGGAATGCATTGCGAATCGTAGGCAAGCAAGGAAGACTGGCAGAAAGGGATCAGAATGCAAAATACTTGCAAGCAGCGTGAGACCGCTCCGTCTATTTTAAACAAAGGGTGCAGCTCGCTCAGGGAAACCGGGGGCATTGGTTTGGTGCTGCTGATTCGGAATCTGGAATAAACAATCAGGAAACTTGGTCCACTTCGAACGTTTTCTGCACTTGAGTTAATCGGTGTCCAAAGACAATCACTCATTTTTAACAAGAGAAAGCTGGGGATTCTATTTCGTTCTTTTTTTTTTTTTATGTCCTGTTGCAGTGGTCGATTGGGACATTCTTGTGCTTAAAGGACGAGAACGTTATTAAGCGCCAAATAACAGTTTCTTACAAAAGGGTCGTAGATCAAGTGTACAAAAACCGATTCTACTTTCGGATGAAAGCTTAAACGACATTTTCTACCTCCGTTTCTGTAGGTCAAGGTCCCCCGGCTCAGCGTCTCGTACAAAGCTGCAGTCAGATGTCGGCCAGGGTCACCGTCGTCTCGAGGTTGGGCTGGGTCTTCCCCCCACGAGCCTCTCGCCGCAGCCGGGCAGCCGGCCCATCGAAGCGAGCGGGTGCGAGACTGAGTCACACACGGTCTTTGGTGAACTGGCCTCGGGGTGGCTCGACACTCTGGACACATTACGACAAGTCCCTGGGTCCAGACCACGTGCAAGGAGGTGTGGGGGGGTCACACAATAGCAGGGTCACACGGGGTCCCTGGAGCCAAAGTAGAATGTTTTTGTCACTTGATCGACAGCCCTTTTGTTAGAAATGTTAATTTGCGTTTAACGTTCTCTGTCTTAAGAAAGAATTCCAATCGCCACTGCAAAGGACATAAAAAAAAAAAAAAGAACGAGAATAGAATCCCAGCTTCTCTTGGTTAAAAATGAGTGATTGTCTTTGGACACCGATTTAACTCAAGTGCAGGAAAAACGTTCGAAGTGGCCAAGTTTGATTGTTTATTGGATCTCAGGGCCTTGATTACCGAAGGCGGCAGCACAAACCAAGCCTGGTTTCTGAGCGAGCTGCACCCTTTGTTTAAGTAGACGGCGGCGGGTCTCAGGCTGCTGCAAGTATTTTGCATTTGATCCTTTCTGCCAAGTTTCCTTTGCTTGCCTAGATGAATGCATTCCATCTGAAAATCGAGGGATTAATAATTACGCTCTAAGCTCAGTAAAATCCTTCTGTGTCACTGCCATTTTCTCTGCTTGGTGCATTTTCCCAGGAAAATAACAAGGCGACCTCACAAATACATCAGGAAGGGATTTTAAATTTAGCTGGTGCCTCTTCCTCTCCCTGGGCGGGCCCTGTGACTCACCTCCACCCCCCAGGGCCCGTCCTGCTGCTGCTGCAGACCTGGACCTGCCGCACTGGGCCCCGGCCAGCTCTCCCCAGGCTCTGGACTTGGTGCCCTCCCTTCCCATGCGCTTCTGGCAAGGTGGTTATCCCAAAGGGTAACGCTGCAGGCTGGCGTCAGACCATGCAGGTAGACCGGAAGACCCCACTTCTGTAACTGTCTGGGTGCCCTGCAGGACTTTTCTGTCCAGGGGAGAGCTGAGTTGGCAACTCCCAGAGGCTGACGAAGGAGGCAGGAATTTCAGACCTCCCAGAGCCAAACGCGTGTCCTGCCCAGTGCCATATGGACGGTGTGAGGCCTCCCTGCACTGATGGAAGAGAGACAGCTGCCACTGTCTCAAGCTCTAACCAAAGGGCTCTGAGCGGGCCCTATCTGATGGAGAAGCAGTTTTATGTGTCAAATAAGCAGTAAGAGAGACCACAGAAGTTGTATTTGCCAGTGAGGCAGGTTCGAAAAAAATAAAGAAAGAAAACAAATTTTAAAAATAATTTGGCAGGCGCGGTGGCTCACACCTGTAATCTTAGCATTCTGGGAGGCCGAGGCAGGTAGATCCCTCAAGGTCAGGAGTTCGAAACCAGCCTGAGCAAGAGTGAGACCCTGTCTCTACTATAAATAGAAAGAAATTAGCCAAACAACTAAAAATAGAAAAAATTAGCCGGGCATGGTGGCACACGCCTGTAGTCCCAGCTACTCGGGAGGCTGAGGCAGGAGGATCGCTTGAGCCCAGGAGTCTGAGGTTGCTGTGAGCTAGGCTGACGCCACGGCACTCTAGCTCAGGCAACAGAGTGAGACTCTGTCTCAAAAAAAAAAACCACAAAGAATTCTTTAGCTATGTAGGATCAAATGCTGTAGGTTTGAAGTTCGAACTTCTTTTGCCTCACTGCCCTCAGTCGGGTACAGACCCCGCTTTGCAGGCTCAGCTGTGCCAAGACTGGGGGCGGGATCGTCCCAGCACCTGGGTGAGGGGCACACACCTCACCCGAAACAGTTACTGCCTCTGAATGCCTCAGCAAAGTCACACCTGGGGAGCAGGGAGGCAGCCCAAGCGCCTGCAGGTTACCCTGTGATTTTTAATGAAGGCTCCAGTGTCTGCGTTGGGGACTTCTGACACCAAGGAGACAGATCGCTGCTCTCACCTGCTCAGTCTGCAAAGGCAGAAAACAAAGCCAGGAAAAATGACTTCCCTGAGGTCACACTGCCTGCTGGGAGCGGAGCTGGGACCAGCAGCCTGACCTCTGACCCCGGGGAGCACAGCCCGAATCCTCAAAGGGTGGTGGGAAGTGGGTCGCTTCCATCTCAGGCTCGAAGCTCCCTGTCGTGGGGCTCGCCCCAGCCAGCGGCCGGCCGGTCAGACCCGGGTCCTGACCCTCCAGTGCATCTCTCGGTTCTGGAGTAGCCAGAGCCTCTCCGGGCGGAAGGTGATGAGGAGGAGGCCGACAGGTCGTGCCCATCGGTGGAACAGGACCAGAGCTCAGAAATGACGACTATAATTCTAAACTTGAAGAAGGAATAATGAAAATTCTTCAGACCCAGACTGACACACTAATGAGAAACAATGCGGAATTAAAACAAAACATGCAGACTCTGGGAGGAAATCAAAGCTCAGAGACATCTGTGAGCGATGGGAATGATATTTCAAGTCTGAGGTGTCTGCAAGTGATCATTCACCTGCCTCTCTGTTTTATTATTATTTTTTTCTGAGACAGCATCTCACTCTGTTGCCCGGGCTAGAGTGCCTGGCGTCAGCCTAGCTCACAGCAACCTCAAACTTCTGGGCTCAAGCAATCCTGTTGTCTCAGCCTCCTGAGTAGCTGGGACTATAGGCATGCACCACCATGCCCAGCTAATTTTTTATATATTTTCAGTTGGACAATTAATTTTTTTCTATTTATAGTAGAGACAGGGTCTCGCTCTTGCTCAGGCTGGTTTCAGACTCCTGAGCTCAAATGATCCGCCCGCCTCGGCCTCCCAGAGTGCTAGGATTACAGGCTGAGCCCCTCTGCGGTTTTGAAATCCGTTTGCCTCCAGGACTAAAGGAAGAGGAGATTTGATGCCACCAACAACCAGGTCTGTGGCTAAGATGCCTGCCCAGCTCAGTTGGAGCTACACGTGACAGCACATCCCACAGGGAGAGTTCATATTAATTTTAGGCCCCCACATAGTGGAGTGAAGAAAATAGTGGTGGAGTCTGGTTCATCTTGACCAAATTGGGTCGAATGAGTCACGGTAAACGGTGTCCTCAGAGGCTGTGAGCACGGAGCCCTTCTCAGACACGGATAGGGGCATGACACAAACCCACTTCATGGCATGTCCCCAGGCTCAGGGCTGAAGGACCTGGGGTGCCCTGCACTGTCTGGAGGCCATGAAGGAGGTGCTGGCCCAGGGCTGTGCTATACGACCCTGAGCCGGTGGTATTCCTGCATTTAGTAAGCACCTACTGCATGCCAGACACTAGGAAGGGCCAACAGACAACACCCTGCTCTGCAGGGATGATGAAAAGGCACAGTGAATGGTCACACTCTCGCCGGCCGCCAGGCCAGGCTCTGGGCCCTCTTCATGGATCAACGCCCAGCCCTGCCGACGAGCCTGTGTGGAAGGGACAAGTGGAACCAGGCCACGGATGCTCAGAGGAAGCTGTGCAGAGCTGCACTCAGGCGGGCCGCAGGGACACAGAAAGGCCAGTGCTCCTGACACAGGGGCCGCCCTGGGTGGGCTGGGAGCGGCCCAGGGGGTCTGGATTTAGAACGGCAAGCTGGGGCTCCGTGGCTCACGCCTGTAATCCTAGCACTCTGGAAGGCCGAGGCGGGTGGATTGTTTGAGCTCAGGAGTTCGAGACCAGCCTGAGCAAGAAAGAGACCCGTCTCTGCTAAAAATAGAAAGAAGTTAATTGGACAGCTAAAAATATACAGAAAAAATCAGCCGGGCATGGTGGTGCATGGCTGTACTCCCAGCTACTCCGGAGGCTGAGGCAGGAGGATTGCTGTGAGCCCAGGAGTTTGAGTTGCTGTGAGCTAGGCTGACGCCACGGCACTCACTCTAGCCAGGGCAACAGAGTGAGACTCTGTCTCAAAAGAAAAGAAAAGAAAAGAAGAAAAAAAAGAAAAGAAAAAGAAAAGAAAGAAAAGAAAAGAAAAGAAAAGAAAAGAAAAGCTGGGAACAGCCCCTTCCTCTGCTGTCCACACCAAGGGTGGGCAGACCCCATCCTGGGCTCTCCTCCCGGCCATGGTCATCAAGGGGGACTTACTCACTCTGGAACAAGTTTGCCCACTTTTAAGTGTTTTCCCGAGAAGTTCACTTTATGCTGCTACCAGGAGTCCAGAAGTGAATAAATGAGACTTAACAATGATTAAAAGTGTATGATCAGCTTTTCAAGGAAACTGCAGAAAAACTTTATGTTCAAAAGAACGAGGACAAAATATGCCAGGCCCTCAATTTCTTAGCTCTTTGGGTGGGAGGGCGGCTCTCAGCGTTGCTGGAGCGCAGCCACCCGCCGGCCGATGGGGGGGGTTGGAGGTTGGGGGCCGCGGAGCGCAACAGCTGCCACCTCCTTCCCCCCTTGGGCGTCCCCAGGACCAGGACTGCTCCGGGAGTCGCGCTGTCGCGGCTCCGCTGACAGTGCGAGGGTTTGGGCCAGGGCTGCTGGAGGGGTCTATGTCGGGGCAGAAGGCGAAGGTGCTGCAGGGAGGTCCGCGCCCTCCCCGCCCCCGGCCCGCGCCCGCAGAACCAGCAACCCCAGACCTGCGACCCTCGCAAGCGCCCCGGCGACTCCGGGACGAGGTTCTGCCACCCCGGTCCGTCCGCCGTGTCCACACAGGTCTTGCGCCCCGGGAGGGACCCACAGGCGGCCCGCGGTTTGAGGGGGTCGCGAGGGCCAGGCCCCTGCCCCGCGCGCCGCGAGGAGGGCGCGGCAGGGGCGGGGGCAGACCGGGGAGGTGGGGGCGGGGCCGCGGGCGGGGCCACGGGCGGGGCAGCGGGCGGGCTCCGCGCTCCGTCGCCCCCAACCTGCGCGCCCGCGCCGCGCTGCCTCCCTCTCCCGCCCGTGCGCCGCGGCCGCCGGCGAGGCAAGTTCGCGTGCGCCCGAGGCGGCCAGACCTGTCCCGCGCCGCGCCCGGCGAGCCATGGACGCGCTGGCCCGGCTGCTGCCCGCGCTCCTGCTGCTCTGCGCGCGGCGTCCCCGCGGCACCAGGTGAGCGGCCCGAGTCGCGGCGCGCGGGGTGGCGGGGAGGAGGCGGGAGCTGCTCCGCGCGGGGCGCCCTCGGGCGGGGGCGGGAGTCTGGGGCTTGCCCCAGACCGAGCTGCTGGTGGGGGGGAGCCGGTGCGAACCTTGGGCATCCGGACCCCGCACCTCCCGCCCCGTG